TGGGAGATTTTAAATTGCCAAACACCTTTTCTTCAGAGTCGTATGCTTTAAATTGCGTTAACAAGTTAGAATTGTTAAGTACATTGCATTCTTCTGAGAAATTTACACATACATAGTTAAATGCATTTTAAGTGGTCACATTTAGCTCCCTGCAGTCACATTCAGAAATCGTTATTTCCCTAACTGATTGTTTTGAAATATATTTAATTTTCATTAAGCGGAAAACTTGTTTTCCTAAGGGAAAAACGAATCCCGGGATTCCTTTCCAGTGTGTGCCCCACTGCCGCTAGTGCCCACGAGCCGCCACTGGTTATTTGATATACTGTCTGTAAAAAAATTAAGCTAAAAAACAGGCAAACATATATAACTTTTTTTACTTTATAATAAGTAAGTGCAAAAGTGTACCTTGTTTTTAAACTCTGTTGCAATAGGAGGGCGTTCCAATTGATAATTATATTTTTTTTCTTGTCAGACAAAGATATATTACTAAGAAAAGTTGTAAAGTTACATGATGGCTGTAGAACTGAAAGCGTGCAGCCAAAATTTATTAAAAATTTTATATATACACTGAAGTATAGTCGCCTCATATTTAATGTGTATACAATTTTCAATCTGTTAATAAAATTTTTGTTTTTTCTTAGGTTATTTGATGAGTACTCCATTCAACAAAAAAATCGATATTTTCTTTTCTTTGGTGGGTTGTGCTCTTTTCGTTGCTGTTGGAGCTCTTAATATCAAAATATTTCAGGACTACAGCAAATCAGAATGGAGAGATTACGGTCTGGCAAAAGCCTCACTTGCTATTATAAATGGTGCAATATTTCTTCTTGATTCTTTACTTACTTGGAGAGGAGACTTTTAAACAGTACCTGAATTTTTTTCTAAAAAAGATCTATAAAAGAATTAATGTGAAAACTCGTTTCAGATCAAATAAAATGCATATGTTAGCAAAATTTTGTGCCTAATAACAGTTTACTCTACCTCAGATTTTTTTTATAAATAGAACGAATTATTTGATAATATTTATAAATATATTTTCATGGCTCAATGTAACAGTAATTGTGAATGATAGTCCATGAAAATATTTGTATTAAAAATAGTTTTTATGAGCCTACAATATTTCTGATAATATTTACTGAATTCGCTTGAATTAATCAACAACAAAAATATATTATGTGATTACAAGTAAAAGTTCAAATTGTTATAATTAATAAACATATTCTCTGTTCTTATAAGGACAATTTTGTTAGTTTTAAAAAAGTATTTATCGTGTTGTGTTTTCGTCTAAAAATTATCGTATGTATTTTATATTTTATTTCTTTTATTATTGTTGTTTTTAATTTAATGTATGGCATTTGTAGTGTTAGTTACCCAGTTTTTTTAATTGATTTAGCTTTACATATCGTAATCAATGTAAATATTTTATTATTCAAACAATTTAAAAAATTCATTTTTTTCAGTACAAACAGATTTATTATAAAAAATAACTGTTTATAATAAAAATTAAAGTGCTAATTAAAATTTGGATTGTTGCCTAAAATATTTCTTCAAATAAAAATGTGTGTTCAGTTAACGTAAATAAAGAGAAAAATATATTTATATGAAAATAGTAAGTTTAATAAAAATTTACGAATATTTTTAACAAAGACTTGTTTTTATACTTTTCTAAATAATAGTTTTTATATTTCTAGTTTTTTACTTTGTCAAGAGTTTTTAATATTTTATATAAAATGCTATTGCTATATATACAATATTTGAATGTGTAAGCTATGTAAGTCTGTTAAATTATTGTCCATTAAATTGATTAAAAGAAAATCTATTTTATTTTGAAATTCCTCTATTAAAAATCTGATGTATCCAACATATGATTTTTTTATCTAATTATTACAGATTTTTTCAGGTTATTTTGTACAACCTATTGTAGCCAGTGTTGCCACAAGCAAATTTTTTTCCGAGGCAAATTTCGCTAAAAATAGGGGTAAATCGGGTTACTCAGGGGTAAATTTTATGAGGTGTATTTTTTTTTCCAAAAAAAAAATAAATTAACGTAATACCTATGGGAAATAAATAATATTTAATAAAACCAATTAGGCATTCCAATGACAGTTGATAGGGTCGATGATATAAATTATTATGTAGATCTTTTTTTTTTCTACTCAAAGCTGGTCGCATTGCACGCTGGTAGGCATCCCTAATCTGTCAAGCTTTTTTTTTTGGATGTGCTAGCTAAACTGATTTTTAATGAGCACCATGAAACATACGCTCCAAACCAGGGACTCGGACAATGAACTGGAGTGGGGTAGAATGCTTGTCAATAGGCTTGAGATGCGACTCTATGGGCAAAGACAGGTTATTTTTCATCTCACTCGGGAGTATTTATTACAACCATTTTCTATTTCACTTTGTTATTGTCTGATCCACCAGCTTGTGGATTGAACAATAACAATGTGAAACAGAAAATGGTTATTATAAATACTCCCGAGTGAGATGAGAAATAAAAATGGCAGCGCCCATAGAGTCGCATCTTGTTCTATTGATACAATATGCACATTGGCTTTCTACCTCACTCCAGTTCATTGGACTCGGACCGAAATGAATTAGTTCCGGTTCGGGTTCTAGTAAAACAAAAAAATTTGGGTCCGGTTCGGTTCCGGTTCTTTTAAAAAAATAACGGTTCGGTCCGACCGAATTTTTCGGTCCAAACGGTTCTTTTCGGTACAAATTTTCCATATAATTACTTATAAAGTCAGACAAACACTGCAAATATAAAAAAATTGAGGTTTACATGATTAGTATTTCATTTAATATGTACCCAGACAGCACACCAAATCCTCTGGATATCTACTGAACATCCCAATATCCACTGAATGTCCAGTCCATGGTGGATATCTATTTTATATTCATGAAATGTAATTTATAGACATGCAAATGTCCATATAAATAATAGTAATTATATAGCAAATTATTAAAAAATTACGCCATTGTGCTCACCATTGTGGCTAATAGTACCGTCCAGATATTTAAAATAAATTTTTTTAAGGTGTATTTAATATCCCATGAACATCCACTAAATATATCAAAGTCTAGGCGCGAACGCAAACCATCGTGGATATCCACTAGATGTTATTTGATTCTGCTTACTAAGTATAGATGGCGATACCACTATCGCATCTACTCATGCTCGATCCGCCGTAATTGAGTTCGATCGAAATGTGTGTCCTAATCACTCCATTAGAGACTGGAGTCGAGAATTTTCATTTATTGCTGAAGAGTCCTAATAAGGATGACTTTCTCCTTAGTGGGCAAAACGCAGAGTGTTTTGAGTGTTGAAAATATTTTTTATCTCTGCTATTTTCTTTCGACGTTATTCAATAATCATTGGTTACTTATGAACCTCTACTAAAGATTCCCATAAAATATTTTGCTGAATATCCGAATATCTTCTATATCCTGGGATATAGACGGACATTAGTTGGATATCCATATTGGATATATTGAATATCCACAAAATATATTCTGTGGATATCTCTGTGATTTCTTGTATTTTCTGGAAGATACCCATTAGATATTTTGCTGAATATCCATTAGGATATCTTCTATATCCTGGATATAGACGGACATTTGGATATCCATATTAGATCCACGGAATATTTCTGATATCCTGTGGATATATTGGATATCCACAAAAGATATTCTGCGGATATCTCTGGGATTTGGTGTGTTGTCTGGGTATGTACATAAATTATTTATATTATTTTAGAAGTGCTGCTCAGTATCAATTTATTTAAATAAAACGGGTAGGCAAGTGTTTCAAAATCGGGGTAGATTTACGAGGGAGGTGGTAGGGAGGCAAAACTTGTAGCGGGGTAGAAATACCTCGATCGGGGTAGCAGTGGCAGCGCTGATTGTAGCACATGTGTAAATTTTTAGAGAATATATACATTTTCCATATACTTCTAACTCGAAAGATTTTTTTTATGTGTATTCATTGCCAACGAAAATACTGAAAAATTAAAATTTTACTTTTCCTCCAATTTTTTTCATTACGGTCCATTTTAGAGAAATCATGTATTAAACAAAAGAAATCGATAACTTTTATTTGTACAATTTTCATAATAGAAAAATCGAATTTGGGGGAATTTTAATAAAAAAAATTAAGGTTTTTGTTAAATATCTCGGCAACCGTTCGAGATAGGAAGATGTTAAATTTGTCTCTAAAGGCCCTTCAAAATGGTTTATAAATTACGGATGAATTGTTCGTAGGGATAGAGATCAGAATTATATATCGAATTTGAGGGAATTTTAGTAGAAAAATTAGGATTTTGTTAATTATCTCGGCAAGATAGGAAGATGCGGATTACTACGATAAATTTGTCTCTAAAAGCACTACAAAATGGTAGTTTCCGTTTCTGTAGATAAATTACGGATGAATTGTTCATAGGGATAGAATTAAAGGTCGAATTTGGAGAAATTTTAATAGAAAAATTAGGGTTTTTGTTAAATATCGCGGCAACCGTTCGATATAGGAAGATGCGGCTTACGATGTTAAATTTACCTCTTAAAGCACTTCAAAATGGTATATAAATTACCGATGTATTGTTCGTCAGGATAGAGAATAGAATTATATATTAAATTTGAGGGAATTTTAATAAAAAAATTAGAGTTTTTGTTAAAATATCTCAACCGTTTAAATTAGAAAGATGCAGTTTGTGGCGTTGAATTTCTCTTTAAAAACTCTAAAATCCTTATTGCGGGTGGGACAATTTCCTCATCGTCCTTTTCAAGGGAAAGATTTCAACAGAAAGGTGGCAATATATTTGAATTAATTTTTTTATCAGATTTTTTTTATTAACAATTTGTCGCAAACACTTTTATATCAAATTATTTTCTATATGTTGGTTGTAAAACTAGATTTGATGTATTCATTGGTTATAAGAGGTAAGTTCTACATTTAACTACGCCGTTAAAACATAAAAACAAAAAAATAAAAAACAGAAGATTCCTCAAAACATTTTATTCATATACCATAAGAAAATCATTAATTTTATATATTTGATTAATAAATTATTTTCCCCATCCCCAGAGTCCTTTAACAAAACCAGAAATGCCAGCACCTTGTTTCTGCTTGGGTTGTGAACCTTCAAGTTTATCAGAGAGATCTGGAAATTCTACAAAGTTTAGGGCCAAATCGAAAAACAAGGGTTTCGCTGGCACGGGCTCCATCTGAGGAGGAAAAGTGACCAAATTTGGATTTTTAGATAGTAGTTGGGCATCTTCTCTAAATTCATCCAATCTCTCGATAAGCGGTTTTTTGCTCTTGTACGTTTTTTGAGGAAACTGTACAGTTATTTCTTCTTGTTTTTGATCTAATATCATATTGGCCTTAGCAGTTGCAATATCAATTTCTGATTTTTCTTTTACTCTTTTCAATAACTCCTTCAGTTCTGATACGAATGTACCTATAAAAGAAAAAATACAAGATTAACAATGTGTGTATAATGGCAAGGGCTAAACAGTCTAACATCCATTAAATTTTATGGATCTGATATACTCTGACAGAACTTGTAAATGTGAAGTTACATGAAATTCGAATTTCTCACAGTCAAAGTTTATGTGGAATTATCAATGAAGTGGAGTAAAGTACAGCTCCAATATCAACTTTAAACAATTAGGAATTCTTCAACTTTACCATTGGTTAAAATTTAAAAATTTTGTTTGCAGAATAATGGTTCTTACACTTTTTATAAATATTTTCTGAAATTTTGAAGTTTATAAATCTATTAGTTTCGAAATAGTGACGAAATAAAGGCTCCAATGTCAAATATATAACAAGTAAGAATTCAACTTTGATACTCTCTAACTTCAACATCTGTTGAAATTTGAAAATGTTGTTTGTAAAATTATGTTTCTAGATCTTTTATAAATATTTTCTAAAATTTTCAAGTTTATAGATGGAAATAGTAATGAAATAAAGGCTTCAATGTCAAATTTATAACAAGTAGGAATTCAACTTTTATACTCTCTAACTTCAATATCTTTTAAAATTTGAAAATGTTGTTTAAATATTTTCTGAAATTTTGAAGTTTATAAATCTATTAGTTTGGAAATAATGACGAAATAAAGGCTCCAATATCAAATTTATAACATGTAAGGATTCAACTTTAACCTCTAACTTCAACATCTGTTGAAATTTTTAAGTTCATGGAACAGAAAATAATAGTATGTTTTGTGATTTACCTTGATTCAAATCCTGAACAGACCTATGTCCAGAATCAAACAAAACTGCAGCCTCTTTCCAACGTTTCTGAGTTGCTTGTGTTCTAGCCAAATAATAAGATCTTAAGGATTTATAAGCTTTAATTTGGGATTCATAGTATTTTTGAATTTCGGTATTCTCCTTAATAGCTTCATTTTGTGATATTTCATTGGTTTGTTGAATATTAATGTCCAGTAGGCGAATGCAATCTTGAGGTTTCCTAAATATAATGAAAGACTTAACAATAAATGATAACTTAATAAGGTGTGTAAATAAATATCTAGGCTATTAATTATGTCATACAATCACTTTCTTGGATTTTATCTCATGAATCTTTACTTACCTTGTTTGTAAGATTAAAATCAAGTTTCTTTGTGAAGTCCTTTCTATGCGAATTGATAGGAGATAAGCTAAAAGCAACTGATATTCTTTTGCTTGCTTGGCAGTAATTTTTTCAGCACGAGCACTTTCTCTAGTAAGAGATATTATATCTCTAAGGTCAATAAATAGGTTTTCCAGTATCTTAATTCTAGCTTGACTGTCTTCAGCATGTACTAGCGAATCATTCAAACCTTCAATGCTCACCAAAAAAACTCTAATTCGCTCAACTCTTACAGGTATTTTTAAGTTAAACCATTTTATCTAGAAAATAAATACAATGTATTAAACTTTAAAGAGTTTAATATGTTAAAATTACCAAGAAATATCACTAATCTTTGTATTTTGTACTTAGTATTATTTTATTTTTGAATTATAAATTGCAACAATTTAAAATATTTTATTTTACCCCTTTAAAATTATTCATAAAATGGATTTCACTATAATTTAGTAATTTTTTGGTATTTTGAAAAGTAAAATTTACATAGATAATTTTAATAATTACCTCATACAGCACATCTTCTGTTTTTTCTTGAGTTTGACTCACAAGTGTATCAAAGTTCTCTAAAACTCCTTGACTTCGCAACTCTAATAAGTCTACAGCTTTTTCATCTCCAATATTGTATGCACAATAACGTAAACTTGGACTAATTTCTTCAACTCTCTGCTTGTAAGGCAATTGTTCTTCTTCAGGAAGAGTAGAAGCTATTTTTTCATAAATAACTTGGGCTTTCTTTAGATTTTCTGCAGCTTGCTGCCAAAGCTGTAACTCAAATTGCAGAGAACCTTGTATCCAAGCTAAATATGCTTGGGCTTCAAGTTTAGTTCTTACATCGCACCTCTCTTGCTAAAAAATTAAAAAATTTACTGACATTATTGTAAAAAATGGTAAAAACATTCTTAAAATAAATAATTTCATTAATACATTTTTTAAGTATACTACAAAATTTCTTAAATTCCAACTGGTGTTAAAACTAAAAGTTTAGAAGGAGTACAGAGTAGATTTATTATTTTTCCATAAGGTCACAAGCATGTAAAGAAGTGCAAATCAATATCTTTAGAAAAGCTGCAAGAAATAAGACAAGGACTCAGATACTGACACAAATAAAGGAGTATTTTTATAATGGGACGAATCCATATTAATAAATAAAAATAAATGGAAACTAAATTTAAAGCTAACCTTGCAAAGTTCATCTAATTGTAATGCATATACACAAGCTTTGCGTAATTTCTGAACTAAATGAAACTTTTTTCTTGGTTCAGTATTGGCTTCCTGACGTAGCTGCATTGCATATGCCCAACATCTCTCCGTTAACATTAAAGGAATGTGTAAAAATCTGTCATCTGCTCGCGGATTTATTATATGAGCCTCAGTTACATCTCGTTTCTTGAAGTGTCTTCTATCTCCTTGTGGGATTTTCAACACCTTTCGTAATCTACTAATCCGTCTGGAACAATATCCTCTATATCTTTGAAAATCTCCATGTCTGAGACCGTGCTGTTGTTGGGAATCTTTAATTAACTTTAAAACTGAAATTAACCAGATGTCAACAAATTAAGGTTATAATATATATTTAAATTAATATACTTTCTACTGTAAATGGTTGAATCTTTTCCAATTGAGAAGCTTTAGATTGAACATCTTCTACCTGGGTAACGTTGATTTTTTCTTCAGTTCCCATTGAAAATAAGCTATTTTATACAATATTTTCTTTTGGGTCAACTTTTGTAAAATCTGAAACGTCAAACCGACAAGCGACCGTAAACGTGACATAAAATTGTCAATTGTCAAAAATATTTATAGTCAATGTCAACACTATTCGAGTTCGGAAATGTCTACACTTGTCCGTATTTATAAACCTGAGTGAGACTTGGGTAAGTCGTCCTTGAACTGAAAACGACGTTCGGTTACAACACCTCTAAAGTTCCAGGTGGTTCAGGTGTTACACTGGAATTTAGTTTTACTGTTGAGTACATTTACACAGATTCTTATGAATATTTAAATATTTTCCAATTTTTAGGTATTTAATTATTGAATAAACCCACTAATAAACCAAATTAATACAAGGTAGTTCCGCTTTTTAGTCGTTATGAATTAATTTATAATATGGCAACATTGGTTTATGACATTTAGGAATGTTTATTTTTATACGTATGACGTCATCAATACATTTAAAGTTTTTCCTGTGGCAAAGAACGTTTTAGGTGTGTTTTTGTATGAAAATTAAAGCAAATTTGAAAAACTACAGTTACATTGAATTAAATGAGGTAAGTGCCTTACCTATTATTATATATTTTTAATGATAAAATTTATGTAGCGTATTCTACTATTCATAAAATAGGTATGTTTGAATGTTTCTTACCAATACAATTATTATTTGCTTCAACTGAATCATTTTAATAAATAACTGCCTATAATATTGGTGTCTGACCGTGTCTGTGTAAAAAAGACTACAATATAATAATATTGTATGAAATTATTAATGAAATCTTCAGTTTAATTAAAAATATATTCATATGAATTAGGTGTACCAACATCTCAGTATACAGTCTTCTCACATTGTAGTAATTAATCCTTTTATTTTCAAACAAGCTCTGTTTGTTTATGAAACAGAAACTGATTTAAAAGATATTTATGTTCCAAAAAAAGCACAAGTCAAGAATTATGTAGGTAGTTATTTTTAGAATCTCTGAGGGAGAACTTTACTTACCTATTTTAACATCTTTCAAGCAGATGCCAGTAACTCTAGAATTCATTTAAAATGTTTGCTTTACCTTTTAGGCAGGTCCTACTAAATACTAGTAGCAATGGAAACTAGATCAAGAAAATCCAGATCCCTAACTCCATTTTCAGTAGAGAAATTCAGTCAAGAATTTGTTGAAAAAGAAAGCCTAGCTGAAAATAGTGTTGGGGTTACAAGACAAACGACTACTTACAAGTGAGTTTTATTTTATGTTGAAAATTTTTACTGGAGAACTAACTTTGACCTTGATACTTTTAGTGTTTATATAAATCCTATTGTTTACAGTTCCCTTTAAGCACTGTAGGTATCTTATTTTAGAGTTTTCAATTCTGTTTATATTGGACATGCCATAATAGTAATTACTAATAACACATAGTTTCTTTACAATCAAGTAGACAACAGTCAATGTCAATAAAAATAATTTTTATTCCATTTTAGTCCTTGATGAAATAGGTATCTATTGGCTTTTAAAATACTATTTCCACGCAGTGAAGTAGTGTTTAGAAGGCCTTTGGCCCACCTCACAGAGGTGTAGGCACCTCAAAAATGCTTCGCAACTCTGTAATGCACTTGTGTAAAGTGTATTGGAAGATGTTCAGTGGTCATTACAGTGTTGCAAACATTGAAAATTCAATTTTAGCTAATAAATTACTTTCTAATGGGTTTTTATTTATTTCCAAAATAATACCTATATATTAGGTACTTAGTTAACTCAAGCAGCATGATATTTATTTACTATCATCTGCTAATCTTTATATAATTACTGTAATCTTATTTAATAGCAAAATATTTTGTTTGATTTTTAAAACTACCCTAATACATTTTTAGTTTGAATGAAAGTGTCTCAGGCTTAAGAGCTATTGATAATATCTTACAATGTTATTGTATTTAAGAATGTTTTATAATAAAATGCATAGTGGGTATGTAGTTTTCATTTTAATATCCATATAAATAATATTGAAAACCTCCTTTGTTAAAAATAATCTATACATGCTTAAACTTTGTCCTTTTAGTTCAAATTATTATTATTGCAGAGTTAAAGAATCTGCTAATTCAGTAGATGAAGTTACATCTACAAATAAGGTAACAACAAAGAAAACATCTGGTTCAGAAAAGGGCAAGTTTCAATCCTACAAAACTTCAGATTATTCCTCTGAAGAAGGGGACAATGAAGTTAGCTCTACAAGAATCATAAGCCAGAATGAAAAAAATCAGATAATTGAAGATGCTAGAGCTGCTGCAAATGGCGGAGGGGGTGAAATATCAGCATTAGACCTGTACAAGAAATCAGGAAGATATTGGGAGTAAGTAACTTTTACTTTTTTATTTTATTTTATTTCTTGGCAATTTTTGTTTATTTTATTTTTGATATTTCAACAAGTTTTCAAGTAACAAGGTATCAAAGTTGAAGTTGGATTTTTTAACAATTTGATATAAATTTGACATTGGAACCTTTAATTTGTCACCATTTCCAAACTAATTTCAAAATTTTAGAAAAATATTTATAAAAAGTCTGAAAACATAATTTTGACAACAACATTTTCAAATTTTAAAAGATGTTGAAGTTAGAGAGTATCAAAGTTGACTTCTTTCTTGTTATAAATTTGACATTGGAGCCTTTATTTCGTTACTATTTCCAAACTAATGGATTTATAACCTTGAAAATTTTAGAAAATATTTATAAAAAGTTTAGAAACATAATTTTATAAACAACACTTTCAAATTTCAACAGATGTTGAAGTTAGAGGGCATTATAGTTGAATCCTTACATGTTATAAATTTGAAATTGGAGCCTTTATTTCATCACTGTTTCCAAACTAATAGATTTATAAACTTCAAAATTTTATAAAATATTAATAAAAAGTCTGAAAACATAATTTTGACAACAACATTTTCAAATTTTAAAAGATGTTGAAGTTAGAGAGTATCAAAGTTGAATTCTTACTTGTTATAAATTTGACATTGGAGCCTTTATTTCTTCACTATTTCCAAACTAATAGATTTATAAATTTCAAAATTTCAGAAAATATTTATAAAAAGACTAGAAACATAATTTTGCAGACAATATTTTCAAATTTCAACAGATGTTGAAGTTGAGTATTAAAGTTGAATTCTTGTCATAAATTTGACATTGGAGCCTTTATTTCTTCACTGTTTCTAAACTAATAGATTTATAAACTTCAAAATTTCATAAAATATTTTTAAAAATTCCAAAAACATAATTGTATAAACAATACTTTCAAATTTCAACAGATGTTGAAGTTAGAGGGTATCAAAGTTGACTTCTTTCTTGTTATAAATTTGACATTGGAGCCTTTATTTCGTTACTATTTCCAAATTAATGGAGTTATAAACTTGAAAATTTTAGAAAATATTTATAAAAAGTTTAGAAACATAATTTTATAAACAACACTTTCAAATTTCAACAGATGTTGAAGTTAGAGGGCATTATAGTTGAATGCTTACATGTTATAAATTTGAAATTGGAGCCTTTATTTCATCACTGTTTCCAAACTAATAGATTTATAAACTTCAAAATTTTATAAAATATTAATAAAAAGTCTAGAAACATAATTTTGCAAACAACACTTTCAAATTTCAACAGATGTTGAAGTTGGAGGGCATTAAAGTTGAATCCTTACATGTTATAAATTTGAAATTGGAGTCTTTATTTCGTCACTGTTTCCAAACTAATAGATTTATAAACTTCAAAATTTCAGAAAATATTTATAAAAAGTCTAGAAACATAATTTTGTAAACAACATTTTCAAATTTTAAAAGATGTTGAAGTTAGAGAGTATCAAAGTTGAATTCTTACTTGTTATAAATTTGACATTGGAGCCTTTATTTCGTCACTATTTCCAAACTAATAGATTTATAAATTTCAAAATTTCAGAAAATATTTATAAAAAGACTAGAAACATAATTTTGCAGACAATATTTTCAAATTTCAACAGATGTTGAAGTTAAGAGTATTAAAGTTGAATTCTTGTCATAAATTTGACATTGGAGCCTTTATTTCTTCACTGTTTCTAAACTAATAGATTTATAAACTTCAAAATTTCATAAAATATTTTCAAAAATTCCAAAAACATAATTTTATAAACAATACTTTCAAATTTCAAAAGATGTTGAAGTTAGAGGGTATCAAAGTTGACTTCTTTCTTGTTATAAATTTGACATTGGAGCCTTTATTTCGTTACTATTTCCAAACTAATGGATTTATAACCTTGAAAATTTTAGAAAATATTTATAAAAAGTTTAGAAACATAATTTTATAAACAACACTTTCAAATTTCAACAGATGTTGAAGTTAGAGGGCATTATAGTTGAATCCTTACATGTTATAAATTTGAAATTGGAGCCTTTATTTCATCACTGTTTCCAAACTAATAGATTTATAAACTTCAAAATTTTATAAAATATTAATAAAAAGTCTAGAAACATAATTTTGCAAACAACACTTTCAAATTTCAACAGATGTTGAAGTTGGAGGGCATTATAGTTGAATCCTTACATGTTATAAATTTGAAATTGGAGCCTTTATTTCATCACTGTTTCCAAACTAATAGATTTATAAACTTCAAAATTTTATAAAATATTAATAAAAAGTCTAGAAACATAATTTTGCAAACAACACTTTCAAATTTCAACAGATGTTGAAGTTGGAGGGCATTAAAGTTGAATCCTTACATGTTATAAATTTGAAATTGGAGTCTTTATTTCGTCACTGTTTCCAAACTAATAGATTTATAAACTTCAAAATTTCATAAAATATTTATAAAGAGTCTAGAAACATAATTTTATAAACAACATTTTCAAATTTTAAAAGATGTTGAAGTTGTAGAGTATCAAAGTTGAATTCTTTCTTGTTATATATTTGACATTGGAACCTTTATTTCGTCACTGTTTCCAAACTAATAGATTTATAATCTTCAAAATTTTATAAAATATTTATAAAGAGTATAGAAATATAATTTTATAAACATTTTCAAATTTTAAAAGATGTTGAAGTTAGAGAGTATCAAAGTTGAATTCATACTTGTTATAAATTTGACATTGGAGCCTTTAGTTTGTCGCCATTTCTAAACCAATTGATCTATAGATTTCAAAATTTTATAAACTATTTACAAAAAAATGTAGAAATAAAATTTTAAAAACCACATTTTGAAATTTCAACTAGTTTTGAAGTTACAAGGTGTCAAAATTATAAAACTGCAAAAACTCGTTTTTTTTTATTTATTCGTCTCTTAAAAAACATAATCGAAGTTTAAAATATTGTCTAGCGATAAACCATCATTATAACGTGCATATTTTTACTTACTAAAAATAAAAAATATACTTTTAAATTCAGCATTCAAAAATTAATTTAATCCAAAAAGTATACCATTTTTAAAAGCGATAAATATTCAACCAGGTTGAAACACCCTGTATACAAAATCCAAAAAATGTTTTCAGTTTTTACTCTTATTATCTTTTTATAATAAATAATTTGTATGATAAACCATTTCTATAAGGCTAACAGCTATCAGGTTTGTGTTTGTGGATTAAGTGAAATTGATTTGAAACTTTTATTAATTTAGTAAGTTAACAGTATTTTATAAATAAATTTAAATCTATGCTAATTAATGAATATATAATTTTTTATTTCTGCCGAAAATGTATCTATATTCTTTTATTTCTTACACGTTTTGATTCAAATTCAGACTACATTCGTATATCTACATAATTTGTTTACTTAATTCAAGGTGAAATATTTATTTTAATTAATTAAATAGAAGGCATTTTAGTTTTCTTAAAACATATGTAATTTTCCTTGAATTTTTTTAAATGCTTTCTCTGCATTATCCATTATTTCAAAAGTTTTAACTGAAGATACAGATGTATTTTGTAATTAATTGCACAAGGACTTTTGACACAAAGGAATAATTTGATGTGGTAGTTGTTCATTTTTAAGTAACTCTTTAGACTTTGAAAGAGCATCTGAAGAAGAATCTGTTACATCAAGAATCGTTATCGTAATGTTCCCCATAAAATAAAGCTGCATCAAGCCATGTGCCCCACAGGGTTGTTATTTGTTTCAACTGTAGCGGGATATCTGGAAGATTTTCTTTATAAAAATAGAATTCTTAATGGAAATTTAAGAAAAACTTTTTTAATGTTACTTATTAAATTATTAACGATTGGAAATTTATTGACCCATAGACTTTAAAATTTGATAAAATATTTACAAAAAGTGTAGAAATATAATTTTGAAAACTACATTTTGAAATTTCAATAAGTTTTCAAGTTACAAGGTATCAAAGTTGAATTTGGATTTTTTAACAATTTGATATCGTTGCCTTTATTTCATTACCATTTCCAAACCAATTATTCTACAATTTCTAAAATTTAAAAAACTATTAACAAAAACTGTAGAAATTTATTTTTGAAGACCATATTTTAAAATTTCAATTAGTTTTGAAGTTACAAGGTGTCAAAGTTGAACTTGGATTTTTTAACAATTTACATTGCTTTTATTTCATCACCATTTCCAAACTAGTTGATTTATAGACTTTAAAATTTGATAAAATATTTAAAAATAGTGTAGAAATATAATTTTGAAAACTACATTTTGAAATTTCAACAAGTTTTCAAGTTAGTTACAAGGTATTAAAGTTGAACTTGGATTTTTTAATAATTTTATATTGTTGCCTATATTTCATCACCATTTCCAAACCAATTATTCTACAATCTCTAAAATTTAAAAAACTATTAACAAAAACTGTAGAAATTTATTTTTAAAGACTACATTTTAAAATTTCAACTAGTTTTGAAGTTACAAGATGTCAAAATTGAACTTGGATTTTTTAACAATTTACATTGCCTTTATTTTATCGCCATTTTTAAACTAATTCATCTATAGACTTTAAAATTTGATAAAACATTTACAAGAAGAGTAGAAATATAATTCTTTAAACCACATTTTGAAATTTCAACAAGTTTTCAAGTTAGAAGGTATCAAAGTTGAACTTAGATTTTTTAACAATTTACATTGCTTTTATTTCATCACCATTTCCAAACTAATTGATTTATAGACTTTAAAATTTGATAAAATATTTAAAAATAGTGTAGAAATATAATTTTGAAAACTACATTTTGAAATTTCAACAAGTTTTCAAGTTAGTTACAAGGTATAAAAGTTGAACTTGGATTTTTTAATAATTTTATATTGTTGCCTATATTTCATCACCATTTCCAAACCAATTATTCTACAATCTCTAAAATTTAAAAAACTATTAACAAAAACTGTAGAAATTTATTTTTAAAGACTACATTTTAAAATTTCAACTAGTTTTGAAGTTACAAGATGTCAAAATTGAACTTGGATTTTTTAACAATTTACATTGCCTTTATTTTATCGCCATTTTTAAACTAATTCATCTATAGACTTTAAAATTTGATAAAACATTTACAAGAAGAGTAGAAATATAATTCTTTAAACCACATTTTGAAATTTCAACAAGTTTTCAAGTTAGAAGGTATCAAAGTTGAACTTAGATTTTTTAACAATTTGCCTTTATTTCATCACCATTTCCAAACCAATTATTCTACAATCTGACCCTGGTCCATTATTGTTATCCAAATTTTTTGATTATAAGAATAAATACTATCAAAAAACGCAGTTTTATTCCACATGTTTACGTTGATTTAATTTATTCCAGAATATATCCGAAAACGGATTATACCTATTCGCCTCATTCGAGGGATAGGGTAGAACTAGCACCGGGTGTGGTAGCAATGCCCAACATGTCCAGAAGAAATATTCATTCGGTACACAACTCGGATGCTTCAACTTCATTTACAGAAGTAGAGCACAAAGAGACCAATACAGAATCGTATTCTTTAAGAAGCGCTTCAGACTTATACGCGAATTATCAACCAAGGCAGCTGTTCAATAATAACTATGAGCATAATTACTTAAAGACTAGCAGGAAAACTTCGCTTACATTTTGGTCTAAAACGAAAACTATGATAACATCGACGTTTACAAGGATCGTTACGATTATTACATCGATGTTATATGTTTGCTTTCAAATACAAACTTCTTCACTATCGAAGCTACACAAATTGGCCAGTAATGTGATGTTGTGGGACACCTGGTTGTTATGGAAAAATAATCCAGGGAATAAAGCTGCTAAATTGATGGCTCTATGTGTTATTCCTTTATTGCTTTTAGGAGGTAAGTCGTGTTAATTTTTTTATAGTAAATACGTTTTTTTAATTACTACTATTACTGAATCACCAAAAATTTAAAGATGAGAATTAAAATATGATTTAATAACAAATATTATAAAAAAGAAAGGAGCAATTAGGTAAAAATATCGATATTATTTTATTAAAATAAATAAGTTTTTGTAAACCTGACTATTTTAGTAGAAATTTACTAAATTGATATTTTATAATATCTATTTAAATTTCTAACTGCGTGTTATATTGCAATATTTTAGACTGTTCGCTTTTTAATAAATTATTAATTTCAATACAAGATGTTCCTAAATATCATGCATATTGGGAAGGGGTTAATTCTTTGGCTTATTTCGACAAAAATTAGTATCTAAGAATTTTAGAAACCAAAGATAACAGATCCTAAATAAGTTTTTAAAAATTTGATGGAAAGGAACTTCATTAAATCAAAAAAAAAGTCCCCTTTGAACGGAAATAATAAAACGCGTCTTTTGGTTTGTGTAACTGGACCATTTTAAAAGCGGCCAATCATTATTATTCAATAACGGTGAACGTGACGAAGATACCAAGTGAACGCGAAGTGAGAATTCGGGTGGGATTAAGAGCGAGATCGATGGAGAGAGAAATGTGGAAAAAAGTTTTTGGTTTGGTGATTTTAATTTTAAATTATTAAAATTTAAGTACTTAGGCGTTCCCGCAATTTTTGAGATATTTAGCCGAAATTTGGAATCCAGTTTATGCTGTAGGCCTTACATCATCATCATTAGAAATGCCAAAAGGTTGTGAGAATCTACAGGGTGATACTTTTTCTTCCCCTGAACTTTTTTAAAATTTTTAAATCAGTTTTAATGTGGATAATGTCTTGTTTTTATAAATTTTGACAGCAGACTTATGTTTTATATGAATTTTTAGTAATGAAATAAGCCAAATAATTTGTTTGTACATGATATTTAGAAACACCCTGTATATCGATTAACTGCCTCATGGTTCCCTCTGTGCATGGCTTCAAGTATATGATAATTTAAGACTTTCATTATCATAATTTCTCGATAAATGCATTTAGGGCCAAGTATGTAGCATTACAATGTGTCTTTTTCTTTTTTCTTTCAAAGTCTACTCCAATAGAGGGACTTTTTAAATTCTAATTTTCAATTTGTGTATGCTGGTACTTTTTATATGGTTCATAAAATAAAAGTACTAAGTTTTTTAAAACAAATAAAATAAATATATCCAATTTTTGGTCTGCTTGTGTTCCTGGAAAAATATTTCGAGCTGGAACATACTTTTGAATGGTTTAAATACATTGTTTTAATTTATGGCGCATTATCTATTAAATTTGGTCATTATTTTTTTTGAAACCCTTTATAATTGTTTGACAAATTTGTCCTGTAAAAAACATAAGTACTTTTAAACAACAGATCATAACAAAAAATGCAGAATATCCACATTTTAATATTTTTTACCATATATTTCAGGTGTGCACTTGTTGTTGGTTAGTGGAGTTTCTCTTGTCCCTTCCTGCCACCCTTATTGCAGAAAAATTGCCTCTACTTACATAAATTCATACATAGATAGTGCTTACTACACACTTTTTAACAAAACTGAATCAATGTAATAATTCATTTTCTCACAGCTTCTAATTATTAGTCATTTATGCTTATTTATATATTATATATTCAAATTTATGGTTACTTAGAGGGAACCGGTATATAAGTTAGATTATTAGATAATCAGACTAGGTCTTTTAGAAATGATAGTGACATATTATTAATCCCATTTCACCTAATTCTTTCTAAAATATAATATTCCTTGTAAGGTATAATATGAACATGCACAAAACAGCAATAACACTTCCATTTCTGTCCACACCACTACACACACATACACAAATTTAAGCACGACGTGCCATGCCGGTTTGTTATGTGCATGTTCCTATTATACCTACCTTGTTCAATTCAGTGTAAGAAATAACCCCGTTTTTAAATTTTTCGCACCTGTTTGGTATAATTATGAGGTTTGGACTATAGATTAATGATAATTATTACAAGTTATATATTTATACTCCTTTTATTTATAAAAATAATTAATAATTAATGATTGATTAATGATTAATAATAATAAAAACTGAGTATTTAACAAAACTACCAAGTCCGGACTGTATTTTCTAGATACCTTGTAGAGCATTTCCAGTTGCCAATTTAATTGTTTTTCCGATGCAGGGTAGCAGTTTGATCGTTTGATAACTGCTTATTCCTATTACTTGGTTATATTTGACTAATTTTCTTTTAGAAATAACTTAATTCCTAAATATTAAACACGGAGCTAGGCTCTTTTTAACTGTAGTGATTTATGAGGTTGCCTTATTAATCAGATAGTATTCTAGGAATATATTTAGATGCAGAGGAATTGATTTCTTCTATAATCTTTATTAATCGTAATATACACATTTAGTGTATAAGAGTTGTTTTTACTATAAAGATTAAATATTGAAGACTTTAGTTAGAGATAGTTCAGTTATTTCATTATTTTGACGTTTTTTTTTTATTCGTACAGTATTTACCCTCTAAGTGGCTTTTTGAGATAATGATCTTTAAAATGTACAAATAATACATGTTTATTTTTTTTTATAATTATTTTATTAATGGTGTTTGTAATTATGTCTAAAATAAAATGTTTTTAAGAATGTTATTAGTTTTTATATGCTCCTTTCTTTTTAAAATTGAATAAGTTGGTGGTTAGGAAGAGGCAATGGACAACTCTATATTCTTTTTATAAATATTTACCTACTATATAAATTAAGTGGAATAAATATTTTCTACAAATTTTTTTAGTATTACTTAAATATCTTAGAATTATAGTATTGTACAATTGATATATGTGAATGGACCAGAAGAGATCGCTTAGCGCGGTGTTGATTGTTATTTTGAAGGGTTATTGCATACTAACTCACTGGAATATAGAATGATGAAAGATTTAACAATGATAAATGTTTACTATAATTTGCTAGTAATATTGCCAACTTATTTTCATAACTAAATTGGTGTCTTAAGTTGGCGTGTAATATTGCAATTCATTGAAAAGGCATTTTATTTTTCATTGTTACTGTACCTCAAAGAGTTTTCGACCACCAACTTTTCCATTGTATTGGAAAAACTGTGCCTGAAAACCGTTAAATGTCTATTTTTGTCAGGTTAAAGTATCGATTTTATCTGAAAATTGTTTAATATAGTTTAAAAAGCATTTAACATGTTTTTTTGACATTCATCTCTACACTAAAAGGTAAGTTATCTACTAATTATGAAGTACCAACCAACAATTAGCACAAAATCCTGATAAATATCATGGATAGAAAAACGCGATCCTTCAAAAATTTACTCACATGAAACAATGAAACGGCTTGATGGATCAGGTTGAAATTGTAGGGCTTTCGGGAGAACAATAACCTGTAAGATGCACACTCAACATTATTCATTTTCCCAATATTCTCAATGTGGCACGTGATTTTCTAAAAAACCTCAAAAAGACCTGTTTTCCAAAATTCTTCAAAGTCACTACGGATGAAAAAAAAAATATTTCTCGTAAAAGAACATTCCAGAACCTTGTAGGGAATGAATCGAAGTTTCCGAAACCCCCCTTCCATTTTCTGAGATATTGACGAGAGGAAATGACGCATTTTTGTTCATTTTCTGATAATTTTTCGTAAAGTCCGTATACTAAAAATTAAAATAAAAAATTAAATTTTCTATCTATGATAGTCATCCGGATTTTATGCTAACTGTTGGTTGGAAAATTTGAAAGTAGACACTTCAAGCTTCAAATTGCTTTTTTTTTTTTTCATTCACGTACGACCATTTTTGCCAAAGATACAACTACTCGAAAAATCGCAAAAAATCGAGATATTTTTTTGATTCCTTAATTTTTTCCACTAGTGTACATTCCCAAATCTCCCTTTATGCTTGTATTATAACAATAAAAAAATTTGTTGTTTTATTTTGCTCTCAACTACTGGTAATTTAGGTATAATTAAAAAAAATTCAGACACAAAATTGTACTTACCAAATTTTACCATTCAACAATTTTTTTCGAATTGGGTCATTTCTACCGAAATTGTATTTTATATAGATAAAATCAAATAATTTAGAAATACAGTTCATCAAATTTCTAGAGGTGTTCGACGCCCAGACAGAGAACGCGCTACGTGTGACTAAGATAGCTATTGTACAGTCTGCTAAACAAGTTATTTTAAATAGTTTTTAATATTTTTAGGTAATTAAATTTTAAAAGTGTGGAATAGTTTAGGGATTAAATTGGTCTGATTGGACTTTCTTAGAACGTTTTTAAAAGCAGCTAAAGATAGTATGTAGAATTGAAAATAATTATTATGCCATAAAAGGTGTTTTGGAATTCCTTCAACCTTTTGAAATTGAGTCAGAAAATATAAATTTTATAGGATAGCGGAAAATACCTATAATTTTTTTGTAGGCCTTTGTAAATCGTGGAAATAGTTTATATTTTATTTCTACCTTATTAAGGAAAATGGTACCTATTATTAATAACGGTTGTTTCTGAAACATTACTAAAATTTTCGAAATTTTGTTTTTCTACAAAATAATAAACTATACTATTTAGAAAAAAATTTATTTCTCTTATAATTTTATAAAAAATAACAGGGGAATATTTACATTTCTTGATCTATTAAACAAAACGATAAATTATCTCGACAAAAGACACCATGTTCTAGTACGGAACCTAGTTTTACATTTTTGTTGGTGGTTTCATGGGTTTCATATCAATTTTTTGTAATTGTAGTTTACACGTACATATCTCTTAACACTTGTTTGCTTTATTAAAAAAGTGTGTTGTTGTGATTTACGTCGAAATAAGTCAAAAACAACTTGAAACCCCATATAAAATCAAAAAGGAGAAACGGAAAAAAATTGAGCCTGTAAATGAACACAACTCGGAAACAAAAATAGCTATCTAATAATAAAAAAATCTGATGTGTCCAACACATGACTTTCCTATCTAGTTATTACAGGCTTTTTCCGGTTATTTTGTACAACCTATTGCAGCATCTCTATAAATGTTTAGAGGATAAACTAAATATATACATTGTCCACATACATCTACCGCGAAACGTTTTTCTATAGATATTCATTGAAAATGAAAATACTGAAAAATTTAAATTTAGCACTTTTCCTACAATTTTTCCATTACGGTCCATTTTAAAAAAATCATGTATGAACAAATATTATAGAGATCGATATCGCAAACAACTTTTATTTCAACAATTTTCATAAAAATCAGAATTTTGCACATTTTGTCAAATTTTTCGAATACGGACCATTTCAGGAAATATTTACATAAAGCAAAAATTATAGATAATAATATTAGAAGTAACTTTTATTTGAACAATTTTTTTCTCCAAACATAAATAACAGATATATTCCATAAAATATAAAAACGGCCTCCCATAAAGTACCCCCCCAGATGTTCCGACTTTGTCCAAAATCTAATCATTTCACGTCAGGCCGAAATAAAACTTAAGTTTAAAATTTAATGTTTTTTTCTTTATCCGTTTTTGAGTTTTCTTCAAATTTCGAAATTTACACATTTTCTCAAATATCTCGAATACGGTCCATTTTAGAGAAATTATTTATAGAATAAAAATTATAGAGAATTATATTACAAACAACTTTTGTTTGAACAATTTTTATAAAAAAAATATTTTTTTACATTTTGTCAAATTTCGCGAATACGGACCATTTTAGGAAAATTTTGTATATAACAAAAATTATGGATAATAAAATAAGAAGTAACTTTCATTTAAAGAATTTTCTTCCCCAAACGTAAATAACAGATATATTCCATAAAATATAAAAATGACCACCTATAAAGTACCCCCCCAGATGTTCCGACTCTGCCCAAAATCTAATCAGCTCATTAGACACTGGAACAAAGCTTAAGTTTGAAATTTGGTGTTTTTCCGTGTATCGGTTCATGAGTTATGCGTTATACAGACACACACACACACAGACACACACACACACACACACACAGACACACACACACACACACACAGACATCATCGCGAAAATAGTCAAAACGGATTCAGGGGACCTCAAAACGTAAAAATCCGTCGAAAACTCGAGGTCGAAAAAAATCATGATTCCTATACTTTCCTTATATCTGTATACAGATAGGAAAGTAAAAATAAAATTTGATTCTTGTGCAGCTTCATCTATATCATTAACTGTTTTTGGTTTTTTAATGGTTTTTCTTGGTGATGAAAATTCCGATATCTCACGGTTATCGATTCTTTTTTTCTCTCCAGAAATGCGGACGACAGTGTTTTTAGATACTCCTGTGGCTGCAGCAACACGATCATTTACATTTTTTTTAAATGGTATTGAAGGTGAATTAAAGTTTCCTTCGCTACTCATAAACTCTATAACATTGGCTATTATTTCGCGAGATTGACTGTTAATCACGCGGCCTCTTAATTTGCTATTAAACTCCATACTTAGGTTCTATTAAACTGTAATGAGCAAAAAACACAAACGAAAATAAAAGAAATGTTTTCGAAATTTACATCTGACATTTACGTCTGAATGAAATAGTGAAATACTTGATGCGCAGAGTGTACTTTCATTGCGTAAATCCGTCGGGATGCCTGTCAGTAGTGCTTTCTCTGTCTAGCCGTCGAAAGCCTCTAGAAATTTGATGAACTGTACATACAACAGTATGTTCTGTGCTTTATTTAGCAATAAAAGGGTTTATTTTTATTATTTTCATAAAATTGTGTGAAATTTCCATGAAGCCATGTATTTTGAATATCAGTACTAGCACCACGCCCTTGCCGATTCGCCTCCTTATCTCTAGTCTTCATAGGCTAAAAAAAACGTCACAGATATTAGTGGAACGTCCCTAAATTGTTATTCCATACAATTAGTTTTGATTGCATTTGTCCAAAATAAAAAGTTGATTTTATTTCCGGTTTGGCCGCTGATATAATCATTTTTAATTAAATCGATTGCCTAGAAGCAATACCTTGTAAGTACAAAATCTGTAAATAAAAGCAATAACATATAAGCGCTTTAAAAAAAAAATTGAAAAAAGGATTCAAGGACCAAGACAGTAAAAATGCCATACATGATATTGTATGTAACTTTTTGAAACAGTTGATTAATAAATAATATATTTATACAATAATATTATAACGGTTTTTCTTCATAACCACAAATTTTGGAAGATGTACTTACGTGTTATTGCTTCTAGGCCATCGAAATACAAATTGCTTTTATCTATTTGCAGGCTGGTGGTCGTTATCCAACTTAGGCAGCTTAACAAATTCAAGTTATTCAGAACCACTTCCGGATGAAAATGTAATTTTCAGTGCTTCCGAAAACGAAAACTTATTTAAAAAAGAGCAAATAATTCAAGAAGGAAATTTAAATCCATTTATTGACATTAGCGGAAATGAGATTATTGTTAATCAACAAAAAACAATAGATTATTTAAAAAAGGAGCTAACACATTTAAAACGTGAAATGTTTCAAGTTGAAAAAACTAGACAAGATGATTTAAATAAGATTTTTGCGAGTTTAAATTCTGAAAAACCGAATAATAATGTACCTATAATCTATCGCGTAAACCGTTGCTGTAAAAATCCAATCATAGATATGGAAAAATATGTTAACAGAATATTTGTTAACCTTTTAAACGATCCAGATTTCTTAAAGAACCAGAAAGGTTTAACCGATTACCTCCATACAATTTTCGCTGCTAAACAAGAGTTGGAACTAAGCTTACATAATATTACATCCAATTTAGATTTAAAATATAACAATTTAATACAAGATGGTACTCTTAGACTAATGGATGAAGTAACGGCTAAAATAAAACGAGAAATAAGCAACCGATCCAAATATGCAGATATGGGAAGTATAGACGTTTCAAACGTTTCAGATGAACATATAAAAAAAATTGTTAGGGGCATTCTAGCTCTGTATGACGCGGACAAGACCGGTCTGGTAGATTACGCTATGGAACCAATGGGAGCTCAAATTTTAAGTACACGTTGCACAGAAAATTACCACTATGGCAAAGCAGTAGTTTCAGTTCTAGGTATTCCTTTGTGGTACCCTGTCAATTCACCGAGAACTTTAATCACTCCCGGAATAAGTCCGGGACAATGCTGGGCTTTTCAGAATTTCCCCGGATTCGTCATGATACGATTATCTAAACGGGTCAAAGTAGAAGCCTTCTCGGTAGAACACATCAGTAAATTGTTGGTACCGAACGGAGACGTCGATTCAGCTCCCAAACAGTTCGAGGTATACGGTCTAAAAGACGAATACGATAAGGAACCAACATTGTTGGGCGAATATGAATATGACCACGAAGGGGAATCGCTACAATTCTTTGGCGTTGAAAAAGACAATCAAATATTCGAAATAATCGAATTAAGAATAATTTCAAATCATGGAAATCCAAATTATACTTGTTTATACAGATTCAGGGTGCACGGTAAGAGTGTTTGAAATCTGGAGTTGTATAATTTTGGCATAAGTAAAATTGTATCGAAAACGCAATAAATAGATGTTTACAGGGTGTCTCGAAATTAGACAGTAAAAGTTTATGTAAACAGGTTCGAAAACGTTTTGATGATACATTTTTGTAAATATTTTCTAAACTTTTAAAGATAACTAAGTGAAATTTGGTACAAATGTTAAACCTTTTGCGCCCTATTTAATGGACTAAACCCCAGTTTTTAATCATCTTCATAGGTGGGTAAATTAGGGGAGGGGCTTAGGGTGAAATTGTTCTAAGTTTTTTTTTGTTAACTGTTTTTAACATTTTTGACTACAATATTTGGAAAACCAATATTTTCTTTACAATAAAGCTACTTTCGTTGTATCTCTCTAGGACGCACCATTTTCAAGAGAAAAGCATTTGAAAATGTCAATTCGAAAAGTGTAAACAATAAATAATTAGTAAGCTTGTTGAATCAGAAATTCTATTTTTTTTTTTTAACTTTGAAAACCGATGACTTAAGAAATTCATCCCATATCTCGAAAACGAAACGTTTTCGGACCTGTTTATATTAAGTTTTACTCCTATTTTAGTATGTAGATCAAGCTGTTAAAATATGACCGTCTAATTTCGGTACTGTAAAAGCGAGTGCCAGTCAACCGAGTAAGAGAAAGTTTAAGATTTGGCGTATCTGTGATAATTATAAGACAAGGTGATTAAATGAATAATTACAAATACATATGAATAAATAATTATCTTTCACGATTTAGGTATTATAATTTAATCGTCTTATTTATTCTTTTTTATATTTAAACAGACTACTTTTTAAAAAAGTTGCCTTGTAATTTTTAGTAAGATTGTGGCCTTAACTAATATTTTTATATAAATGAAGGTTAACATCTCCTCAAATGTGGTCATCTTCAATAAAATAAAAAAAAACGCAAAATCATTACCATCTATTACATAAAGTTTATTGCTGACAGTAACTAGGGTTGCCACCTTTTTGAAAAGTGAATAAATACTACGATGCTGACAGGGGCTCCGGTATACAAAAAGTCCTAAAAAAAGGTCGCCGAGCTTGTAACTAAATATCTTCCTTGTCATGCTACCGAGCTTCAAAAAGATCCTTAGGTTATATATTTTTGTACAAACCATGTCCCTTTCAAAGATATGTGCTATAAAAAAGACATTTTAAGCTTTAAAAAGTTACAAGGACATTTTGCTTTAAAAAAGGACAGGTGACAACCCTAACAGTAACCAATCTTGACTCCGCGGAAATCACCAGCCATTAAAAGTGTGTTTTTTTTACTGTTAAAACTGATATTGATTTTGTGTTTTTGTTACTCCATTAATATTTTTACATTTTAAAATGACGTTATTGTTCTTTACTTTCGCACATTAAAAAATACTTTTATTTACTTGATATGAACAACAGTTTCATTTTAATTCTAATATTAAAAAGTTATCTACAAAAAATGTTTCTGGCAGACAGACACGAGTCGTGTTTGATAATTATGCACGGCTCGGCAGTAAATCCAAACTTTGTTTTTAATAAATACGTTCAAGTGAAGCATTTACAGTTATTATAATCTGATCAATAAGAACAATAAATTTTATTCTAATCTAATTTATCTAGGATTGAAAAACTTCATAAATTGAATTTCTACTCACTAGTGTTCCTTAGAGTTATATTAAATGGCACTATACCCTGCTTTTATCTAACATCACTGAACCCACTCAAAAAACTTGCTGGATAACCGCATCGTTTTTATGTTGGGGTCAGTCGTTTATGATTACTGACATTTTTTGCAGAAGATATAATTCTTTTTCGTATAATTCACAGTCTTCTCAATATTGCTCATTTCAAGATACAGGGCATTAAATAAAAAAAAAATGTTTTTTTATTAATATCCTAATCAATCTGTTGGCGATTTTGATTAGACTTGATAGGTTTGTTTTTGGATTAAACTTATTAAGTGAGATAATAATTTAACATCCCGTGTTTAAAAAAAATCACGTATCAGATCATTATTAATTTTGCGCAATGAGTTTTATGTAAAATACATTTTTTTGGTATGTTTTTATTTTATGTGTTGAACAAAGACATTTAAAACTAAATTTTTATTTAATATAACAAAAAATATATATATCTTAAGTTCCTTTTTATTACAATATTGATCTCTTGAAAAGAGAAGCTATTTTATTCAAGAATTATATCTCTAAGAATATTTTTAGCATTAATTCACTTCACTGTTTTGAGTGTTTTTTTGGAATTATACAATAATTTATTTTGCACATTTGTGTGATGTTTGCACTAATATTTTATATACTTACCTATAATATTTTGTAGATTTAAAATTAAATTTCGTTTTATACCTCAATCTCCATTTACCAAAGCCATTTTTTGTTTTTTTTTTTGTTTATTTATTGTTTTTATGTATAAATTAGATGATAGATGTATATATTTGGTAATGAGTACAAATAAGATGTATGTAGTTTTATTACTTTGTTGACTTAATGAAAAATGTTGATAATTTTATATATTACAATATCCAGTTAAACAAAGTTCCTTTGTAGATTTGTATATATTATATCTAATTTCGTAGAATATCTGGTACAATTTTGGTTTTAGATTATTTTAATAAAATGTATTTTTGAGTACGGTTTCTTTGTATCGTGGATTAAAATTTATGGATTATCCTGTAGACTATCAGGGCCGCCGAGATCAAGGTCGGGCCTCGGGACAATTTTCCAGGTCGGGTCCCGCGATAATTTTCATTCAGTCTTTTCAATATCACATTTCTAAAAAAAAAGTTTTCAAGCAAAAACTTCTAGTGACAAAAAGGTCCTTCCTCTTGTCTTCTTGTGACGAACTACCGCTTCCGAGCCTCCCTTATGTCGCTGCCGGGAATTAGTCCCTGTCGCCTCCCCCTCGCGTCGGCCTTGCAGAATAGGGCTAAAGCCTTTGAAAATGATAAAAAGTGAAAAAAATATTAAATTATTTATGAATTAGAGAATGTTTTATTTTGGGATTTATCGAAGTTAATTTTTTAATATTTTTATTTTCTTGAAATAGTTATACTTATGCGCAATGACCTAGAATAAATATATCAAACTATTTAAAACAGGTATTTTCAGTCAATTATCTGAATTTCTCAAAGCAGAAAGGTATTCTTTGAAAATTGCTGTTTTTTTCTTTTCGTTTTTACATCATTTAAAAAAAAATTAAATTTATTTAAATATTTAGCAAGTATAAAAAATTATTGTCAGTTAATTATTTTAAATTCTTTACATAACTGAAAACTGTACCTATTTCTCAATCAAGTTTCCATTATTGTGCGAGATGATTCTCTTGTATTTCCAGTTTTTCCATAATTGTATAACATAGTGTAACAAATTGTAGTATATATTTTGGTTTTCATTTATTTATACCAAGGTTAGAGATTAAATTAACGAAAAATATTCACTTTTTAAAGTATTTAATAATGTTAATGGGTAGCTGAAAAGAAAATTATTATTTATTTATTAAATCAGATTAGGTTATTTCAGTTTTTATTTGAACTATCAAATTATCCAAAAATATGCGGTACAAAGTAGTTACATTTTTGTTATTTGATAACCGATTTTGTATGTCGCCTTTGTAATAAAATTTTTCTAATAATTATCTTGTTTTTTTTTATAAATATGTTTAGCACCTTTTACATTGTAGAGCTGCAGAAATGCGAAAAAAAAATATGCAAGTATCTAATCTACGTTTCACAAAAATTAATATAGACATTCTAAAATATACATAAAATAAGTTTTATTATCTCATTTATTTTAATTATTAAAAAGAATCCATTACATTTAATGGCAAAAGGAACCAGCGACGGCTCATGGGCACTAGCGGCAGTGGGGCACACACTAGAAAAGAATCCCGGGATTCGCTTTTCCCTTAGGAAAACAAGTTCTCCGCTTAGTGAAAATTAAATATATTTCAAAACAATCAGTTGGGGCAATAATGATTTCTGAATGTGACTACAGGGAGCTAAATGTGACCACTCAAAATGCATTTAACTATGTATGTGGCTATTTAATGTATCTCTTTTTGATAGTTTTGTCAAGTAAGCCTAGAATTTCCAACGCGTACCTTTTTGAGATGAGCAAAATAGAATTTGGTCATGCTTGCCAACAATTTTCGAAAATGTACACCATAAATTATTTATAAGACTCAGAATTTTTTATACTCTTAAATATGCCTGACATGAAATGATTAGATTTTGGACAAAGTCGGAACATCTGGGGGGGTACTTTATGGGAGGCCGTTTTTATATTTTATGGAATGTATCTTTTATGTTTGGAGAAGAAAATTTTTCAAATAAAAGTTACTTCTAATATTATCTATAATTTTTGCTTTTTGATAAATTTTCCTGAAATGGTCCGTATTCGAGAAATTTGACAAAATGTGCAAAATTTTGATTTTTAAGAAAATTGTTGAGCTAAAAGTTGTTTGCGATATCGATCTCTATAATTTTTGTTTATACATGATTTTTCTAAAATGGACCGTAATGGAAAAATTGGAGGAAAAGTGCTAAATTTAAATTTCTCAGTATTTTCGGAAAAAGCCTATAATAACTAGATAGGAAAGTCATGTGTTGGACACATCAGATTTTTTGTAAAATGAAGGAATTGAATTTAATAAGAATATAACTTAGATAAAAGAGACCAGAGATATAACATACACCGGTGTTTAACCTGCGCAAATGTTGCCAGTTTCTAAAGAAAGGTTAACGGAGTGGGGGAACTGGGCAGGGACTCGAACTCTGTGACAGGGACCGGACTTTGTTTATTAGCATCATAATGAACTATTAGATTTATTTAAAATATACGTTTAATGGAATTTTGTATTATGAAATAAATTTAACGTGATTTTTTAATATCAAACAGATGCCACGATATTTTATGTAAAGAGAAGACCTTTAATAGAATATTTCGTTAGCTATTATTTACTATGGACTTTTCTGTAAGAGACTACAGTAAAATGTTGAAATAGAATATTGTTAATCGAGTAAGAAATGGTACTCATTGTCTAAGAGTATTATAAAAAAGCATGTGCGCAGGCGAATACTGCAAATCAAACCTTGTGAGTTGAACATTATATTTTTTCTACGACTATCACATAATATTAAAATTTAGTCAAAATGAGAAAATGCTGTTTTGTATTATAACCTCAGAAAAAGATATATTAAAGCTTGTTTCTTTAGGAATATTAATTAATATAGAGGATGCGTCACATAAAACTCTAGAAATGTATATGTCTGAAACCAGATAACATTTTAAAATTTAAACCTATTAAAAGTCATTTGGTCGCTAGGAGTGGGTGATTATCGAAATAAATTATTGATCATTAATAATAATCGATTATTTTCGATCAATCGATTATTTTCAAACAATCTATTTTTGTTCGTATTTCCTTTAAAATTGACTACTTGATTATCTTTAAAAAATAAAAAAAAATAGATTAATTAAAAAGCCAATTAACCGATAAATCAGTGTTTACAAAAAATAATAAACGAATTATCGTTTATTTTAAATAATCGATTATTTTTAATTTCTATTTTTTTTTCGTATTTCCATTGAAACATTATTCGATAATCTTTGAAAAATCTAAAATAATCGATTAATCAAAAATAATCGATTAATTAAAAAGTCGAATAATCGATAAATCGATTTAAAAAAAAAAGAATTATTTCCTTTAAAATCAATTATTCGATCATTTTTGAAACATCGAAAATAATCGATTAACGGAAAATAACCAATTAATTAAGAAGATTCTACGATAAATCGATTTTCCAAAAAAAAAAAACTGAATAATTATTGATTATTTACAAATAATCCTTTTCTTTTTTATATTCCTTTTAAAACTGATTATTTAATTTTCTTTGAAAAATCGAAAATAATTGATTAATAAAAAGCTGATTTACCGATAAATCAATAATTCTATAAAATAACCGAAATATCGATTATATAATATAACCGATTATATTCGATCAATCGATTATTTTTATAGAATCTATTTTTTGTATTTTAAAACAAATTATTTGAATACCTTTGAAAAATCGAAAATAATCGAATTATCTAAAATAATCGATTAATCGAAAATAATCGATTAATTTAAAAAGTCTATTAAACAATAAATCGATTTTTCTAAAAAATCGATTATTTTCAATAAATCGAATATTTTGAATAAATCTACTCTCTTTTTGTAATTCCTTTATAATCGATTATTCCATTACCTAAAAAAACGAAAAAAGTTTATTAAAAATGTTCGATTAATCAAAAATAATCTATTAAAGATAATCGATTAATTATAACGGATAAATCGATTTTCATGAAAACGATAAATCGATTATTTTTGTAACCCCTATCGCATGCTTTTATCAGAGCATTTATCTCCAAAATTTAGAGATTCGGATTTATTGATCCTCTTATCTTTGAAACCGCATTCGATTGTATAATAAATATTGCTAGAATTTAGATTTTTTTAGTAAACGAAGATATTTTTTGAGTTGTTTAGGGGTTTATAATGTAACATTTTACTAATAATATGAGTAATTTCCGTAACTTTAGTATTTTTTGCTTATATAAGATCATATTGCGCGTTTTACTTTGTTTTAAGATTCAAATGTCACTTTTGATTTAACCGCAAATAAAATAAACCTTGAAATTTTAAGTATGTGAGCCTGTATTTCATCTAATATTCTTGTAAAAATATCTAATAAAGGGCTAAAAACCACTTTTAGTAAATATTCTTATAAAACTACTTTTTAAAAACAAAATTTTGTTAGTAACAATGCCTATTTACTTCTTATTGAGATTAAATATTTTTTGAAACCCCTTAATGCGGATCTGAAGTATTCAGCTCAAAGAATCATGGCGACTTTATGTCAAAACGTCAACAAATATTTACCGCTGAAAACGAATATATTTCTTATTTTTCATAACATTAACACATATTATTTGTATATACAATTTTTCACCATACATCGTGGCATTTTCAACTTGAAATTGAATAACTAAAACACTTTAAATTGCTAATAACACCAACAAATAATTCAAAAACGGCGGTCCATAAATGATTTACTCACGCGGAGACAAGCAAAGAATAGAAATTTCGGAGCAATTCGGGTGGCGTCGTGAACACAATGATTTTTAATTGGTGGGTTACTTAGGTTTGGAATAGACAACATGCGCAATGCGCAATGTTACATCTCCGGTCTCTTTTATCTAAGGAATATAATTATTTTTTAATTAAATGAAATTAATAAATTATGAATGTACCTGGATGAGATATGTTACATAACCGGTTTTATAACAGATTTAATTTTAATAAACACCTATGAATGTACTGATTAAAAAAAACACTAAATAATTTCAGCAACAAAATGTGATTTTAATTCAAGTTAACAACTGTTTATCATAAAATATATAAAAATAGAACAGTCAATAAATAATACATATATTAATTTTAACATTTACACATCGTATATTTTAAGTAATATTCGTAGTAGTTCCTTTTGCTCTTTAGATAATATGCTCCAAAAATCCGTTTCTAAATCAACCAACCCACTAGTATCCAGAGATTGGCAAATTGTTACAAGTGACCTAAGAAGGTTGAAAACATTTTCTGTCATTTTACATGCTAAAAAAAAATACATATAAATCTCCAAATAACAAAGTGTTTTTCTTCAACATTTTTTTACTTTAGAAATATTTTAAAATAATTTTACCTTGCAAACTGGCATCATTCATATCACCCCAAGTATATTTCTCTAAAATTTTGGCCAAATGTTGAGAAAGTTTTTGAGGATTGGGTCTCAAAATTAATAATAGCAATACACTATTTATTTCGCATTTCAACAATATATTAAATCTAGAACCATTAGTAGTGGAATTTTGAACAATTTTTGTTATTTCAAAAAATGTTTCAAGAGCTGCTAAATAATCACCTGTAATATAAAAAATAGTAGGTATCAAGAGAGATTATAATAAATATAATTAGTAGCAAATCATATTTATTTTATATACATACAAATGATAATAGCACTTAAATATAATATAAAAAAAATTAACAAGTATTCAAATCATGTGCAACCAGTTTAATCAGACTTATATTGTTAAAAATAGATGTTAAAGTTATTACAGCGCCATCTAGTACGAAAAAAAAAAAGAGGCTGCAAACAACACTGATTACAGTGGTGATTTCCTAAGTAAATGTTTTGTTAATGTAGGTAGAAACTTACCAGATTTTATAAAATGTGAAGCAAAAAGTTCTAAACAGTAAATTCTGGTATCACATCTGTCTTTGCATACTTTCATTGCATCTTCTAGATAGTTTTCAATGTATTCACTTTTATTTATCCTTTTCAGAAAATCGATAATTTCAAGATTCAAACAAATTGGAATTGTACAGTTTGCATTAAGTCTACTAGCTGCATGGGCATAGCAACTTAGTCCAGCCTAAAAAATGTATTGTACTGAGAAATTTATGAAAACAGAAATATACAGAAACAAAGATTTTATATTGCAGCAAAACATTTTTACTTTCTTAGCTGTATACATATTTTTTCAATCTGATTCCAGTATTGTTATTGAAACTGCCTATAAATTTAGGAGAATATGTTAACCTACTTGTAGATACTCTCCATATACAGTTTTGCAGTCAAGCTCTGCATCTATCCCTTCGGCTTTGAGGAGCTGCCTAGCAGATTGAATTAAGCATGAGGTTTCTCCAATAGTATTTAACAATGACCCTTCGCACCTTGCAGCAGCTATCCAACATAAACCAGCATATACTGATAATTCCAGTGATTCGCATTGTTTAGCTAAGTCAATAAAGGAATCGCAAGCTTCTGACACATTTGGTTTTTTTAAAAATCTCCTGAAAGAATATAATTTATTTACAATTTTATTAAAAATATCTGTCTTATGGCGAGTTACTTTTTAAGTTTATTTGATATTAACATGTAATGATCTAATAAATCCAGATGAACGAATTCGGATTCCATTTTGTGCAAAATAATATTTTTTATTTCGATCGACAACAATGCAACCCAGTGTTGCGACTGTCATTGCGTTCGGTTTGCCACGTTCCTTTAACTCCTTTAACACTTTTAACTCCAAACGACTCTTTTAGCGTTCGGTTTAGTCCGATTAGTGACAGTTTAACACGCTTAAATGTCATTTAAAAGCACCCTAAAATTTGTCCCGCTCCAGCCCCTGACTGACCGAACTCGCCTTGTTGCCACACCAATTAATTTTTTCGTAATAGAATTTTGAACCAAAAGGTAATAAAATCGTAATAGATAATATTTTAAAGTAACATAAATGTAACAGAACTATTATTAAATACATTTAAGAATAAAACTTTAATATGAAAATTGTTTATGCTGCTGCAAAAGAATGGGGTAATGATAATAAACCTCAAATTATTTTTTTAAATTTTATACATTTGGTTCATCCAGTGAATTTTTTTATTTTAAAGATGTTACCCCAAAATTCACCTAAGGGTAAATTTTTGAAATTTAATATTTCTTCAAAGTCTCGAAGAGGTCAACGTTCTGACGTTATTAAAAACAATACATAAATTATGCTGAAATGCTGGAGGCTATCCCCTACTAAATACTAAACCAAAAACTGACCTATAACAAAAAAAAATACAATCATTATAATAAAGTGACGCCTATCTTGGATTTGTTAAAACAAGAAAACACAGAAAAACAAATGTATAGATTTCTAAATTTTTTTAAGTATAGGCTCTGAAGTTTAGATGAAGCCACTCATAAAATTTCGATATTTAAAAAAGTAATAGATTTTTCCTCTTTTCTTAAAAGTCGTAATAACGTACTGGTGGAACTTTTTAGTAATAGATTTGTTACAATTGTAATAGCAACGGCAACACTGTGCAACCAATCCAATGACAAATGACATATATAAGGTGAGTTCGGGCTGCGAACTCTAGAGTGGAGCGGAGTAAGTAGGCGTAAACGGAGTGCGCATATGGTTTTATAACTCCTTTTACTCTCAGAATTCAATGTCAGTTGTCAATGTGACAAACTAATACTTAAAAGGTCTTTTCCTTTGCATCGAAAGTGTAGGACCGAGCTACAGTGCTACACCACTTCTGAAAATATCGTTCCATTTATACAAATTGTATGGATGGAACAATATTTTCAGAAGTAACGTAGCTCAGTGCTACACTTTCGATGCAAAGGAAAAGACCTAAAACCTAATCGTACTTATCAGTAACAACCGTATAAGTTTCTTCCATATTAATAGTATGCACGGGAATCAAATAAAAAGCATTTTTACTTAAAAATTAGTCACAATTATCTTATTATCTATTTAAATCACCTTATGCGCATGCCCGATCCACATTCCACTCCACGATTTCCGACCGGTCAAAGAGGAACTTTTATTTTAATTCCTTCCGTACGCCCTAGGTACTTTAGGAGTGAAAATAGTGCGTAGCCCGAACTCACCTGCTCCTCCATACGTAAATAAAACGATGAAAAACAGGTTGAACTGGGAGATGTTTTCTCTTTCTCTAGTACATGCTGCAATGTTTTGTCTCAATTGTGAGCGCTAAGTGTGACGGAGACGTATTTGAAACGTTAAAACGGTGAGCTATATCAAGCTAGCGGGCACTCTGTGGCGGCACCATTCAAGACCTGGCGGGTTTTTTGTAGCTTTTTTGTAGCTTTTTTGTTACACTATTTGCAAATTTGTAGCTTTGCCCAGGTCCGAAAAAACAGCGGATCCGCTAGCTTGAATTTCCATAAATTCCATAGTAGCGGCACAGATTCAGACCCAGCTGGTTTTTCGTAACTTTTTTGTAGCTTTTTTGTTACGCTAGTCTCCCTTTTGTAGCTTGTACTGAACCTGAGAAAAGCGCGGATCCGCTAGCTTAGCGGATATTTGTAGCGGCACCAGCCCGGACTCGGCTCATTTTTTGTAACTTTTTTGTAGCTTTTTTGTTACGCCTGTCTCTATTTCGTTGCGAGGCCTGAACGTGAGTAATAATCGTTTCTCCATGAAGTGAGAGAAAAGTGCGTTAATTTAAAATCAAGTTTCGGCCTCTACAAGTAATGTGTGCAACTCGATAGTGTGACTATCTGTTGATAGATGGCACCAGTATTGCATTTCACGAATTATGGACATCTTCCATCCAATATATTTTTGAGAAATTTAGATATCTCAAAATCGGACATTTTCAACGGTATGTATATTAATTATTTGTCCGATATTAATGTAAAATACATATTGGCAAGATTATTAAAATAGTTGTATGCCGGACGCCACTATTTTGCCGATCGGGTGTTTTCGGTTATTTTTAACCGACTTCAAAAAAGGAGGAGGTTCTCAATTCGTCGCGATATTTTTTTTATGTATGTTCAGCGATAATTCTTTAACAAGGTGTCCGATTTCAATGATTATTTTTTTGTTAGAAAAGGGGTACTTCAGGGGTGGTACCATATATATTTGGCCAAAATCTAATAATTGGGTCCATGAGAAAATCCTCAAACTCTTCATTTTTTATGTATGTTTAGCGATAATGCTTTACCACCTTGCCCGATTTATATGATTCTTTTTTTGTTAGTAAGGGGGTACCTCGGGGTGGTCCTATATATAAATTTGGAACGTTTTTGAAGTCGGTTTTTTTTAATTTTAAATTTCTAAGGGTCTATTTATACTCCCTTATTATTAGTATTTGCATTAGTATTATGATTAAGCATTAAGTTGAACCTTCACAATGTAATGGGGACATTTATACTCGATTTATGATTAGTATTAGCATTAATATTTATGCTTAATAATTGACAGGTTCAACTTTTAAATTAAATATTAAATTTCTTCTTTTCTATAAAATGAATCAATAACGTATTTGGCCTTTGTTTTTAATAGACAAAGAATAGGGATAATTGACAATACACATATGATTATGTTGTTTATATGTTTGTTCCAACAAGCTCGAAAACGATAATATTTTGGTACAAATCATGCGCTGTATACAATTTTTGTGTATCAGCATTGTTTACCGATTATAAAGTTGACAAATGACATGTCACCACGAGGAAGCAAAGGCATCTTTTCTGTCTGATTTGTATCAAATTTCTGCTTCTTTTTATCTGTTATAAATTTGAGACTGAAATCCGTTAAAATGTCCTTAATTAAACCTATTTTTGAATAATAATATTTTTAAATAAAATTAACTAGTAAAAATATTAATAAAAATACATTTAAAACTCAAATATCTTAAAAGAACGCAACTCTGGCCTCTTACATATTTCTTCAGTAACCATATATTTTGTTGACTGCAGAATTATATCTTATTAGGTTTAAAAAAGAATTGCTAATACTAATTATAAAACGAGTATAAATACCTTTTTTGAATGATTTAACAAATTTAATGCTTAATCATAATACTATATACAAATACTAATACTAAGGGAGTATAAATAGACCCTAATACTTGTTACTGCTAAAAACTTACTGCTAACTTCACACCGGTGGTAATAGCTACCAAGCAATTACCTATTCTCACTATATACAGGGTGTTCCATCTCAGACGAGCCACCCCGTATAGTTCTTATCCCATAGTAATTGGAAAAATTTCCCGAAACACGTCTGATGATTTTCTTTGGGGGACATCTTTTGACGTATATATATATTTGAGGCTTGAACGAGCAAACCCCCTATAAGGGGACGCTTCAACCCCTCAAAATTGATTAGGGAAGAGGGGTTGGGTGATACTTCATTTATAAGGTCTTGGAAGCCTCTTTACAAACGGTGTATGAAAAAAAAAATCAATTGTTTTATCATGCTTACAATCAAAAAAATCAAAACTGCGTTTTTAAATGAAATGTTCAATTTGTCTTCCATTGACTTCCATGCAATAATAAATTCTCTCGAACTAATAAATAAAAAAAAATCAAAACATTTTCTTATCTTGCCTTCATTTTTTTTGTTCTTCGATCATTTCATGTGATAAAACAATTAATTTTTTTAAGAATGTGATTTTTTTCATACACCGTTGTAAAGAGGCTTTCAAGACCTTACAAATTATGTATCACTCAACCCTTCTTCCCTATTCCATTTTGAGGGGTTTGAAGCGCCCCCTCATAGGGGGTTTGCTTGTTCAAGCCTCAAATATACGTCAAAAGATCGATGTCCCCAAAGAAAATCATCCGACGTGTTTTGGGAAATTTTTCCAATTACGGATAAGAAATACGGGGTGGCTCGTCTGAGATGGAACACACTGTATAGTTGTGATCCGACAGAATTAAACACTGGTCCATAAATACTGCAAAACGATTGGTTAAGGAAATCATTCAAAAAAGATGTAAGAATATTTTGGATTCAACAAAAGTTTAAATACGTACATAAACAACACTAAAAAACATTTAAAAACAAATGTCCGATTTTGAGATTATATCTAAATTTCTCAAAAATATATTGGATGGAAAATGGCCATAATTCGTGAAATGCAATACTGGTGCCATCTATCAAAAGATAGTCACACTATCGAGTTGCACATATTATTTGTAGACGCCGAAACTTGATTTTAAATGAACGCACTTTTCTCTCACGCTCATGGAGAAACGATTATTACTCACGTTCAGGCCTCGCAACGAAATGGAGACAGGCGTAACAAAAAAGCTACAAAAAAGTTACAAAAAATGAGCTAGTCCGAGCTGGTGCCGCTACAAATATCCGCTAAGCTAGCGGATTCGCGCTTTTCTCAGGTTCAGTACAAGCTACAAAAGGGAGACTAGCGTAACAAAAAAGCTACAAAAAAGTTACGAAAAACCAGCTGGGTCTGAATCTGTGCCGCTACTATGGAATTTATGGAAATTCAAGCTAGCAGATCCGCTGTTTTTTCGGACCCTGGGCAAAGCTACAAATTCGCAAATAGCGTAACAAAAAAGCTACAAAAAAGTTACAAAAAACCCGCCAGGTCTTGAATGGTGCCGCCACAGAGTGCCCGCTAGCTTGATAGAGCCAAAACGGTGTTGACCAGATAATAATATATTATTTTGTTACGTACCAATGTCTAAAAAATGTACAAGGATCTTTAAAATGTATTAGATTTTCGATATAATTGCGATTACGTATAGGAAACAGGAGACTTTTTAGCGAACAAAAAAATGGCAATCTGTGTACACCATCCGGGACAACGTTCTACTGTCGCCGGTAACACCCGGCCATTGTAGCTCGTCTCTATTATAATTTTGTCTATGGCGTTATCATTTGCTGTTA